AAGTCACCGAAATATGTGATGTCACTCTTGGTGGTTTGATGTTGTACGTTTTTTAACAACGTGGACTTTGTCACTGAGTAAAACAGTGGACTGATATTATCATCACTCGGTAAAACTGGCTTCAAACCATCAAGAATGCTGAATGGTTTGCCAAGCTTGTTAGCTGAAATGGAATCAAAGGAAGTCAGAAAATTAGTTACAGTGGATTGAAATTTACCGTGCGAAAAAAACGAAAAAAAACATGTACTCCTCTAGTATCGTTGTTCCACTCATTGTAGTATCTTCATTGGGTTGCATTCTTTTTTCTCGTAAAATAGGGGAAAATTTTGTACATACTTCTTCATCATTATCATCATTATCATCTTTATTTGCCTTAATTACACAATACGAAAATTTATTTACAGCTTTTATAGGCGAGGAGACCAAGGAAGCCACCGGGCTTATGGGAGAGCCACCTGACTTACAACAATAAATAAAGGAAAGAAAAAGTGCTGCGAATGTGCGGCTAGGCCAATTCAGTGATTATTTAAATAAAAACTCTTGCATTTTCGTCTTAAAGCCAAACAGGTTTGACGAACAAGTGACTGAAACAGGAAGAGAGTTCCAAATTTTAGGACCTTGGAGAATTGTAAATTACTTGAGATTTGTACGGCACAAATGGGTTCGATAATTACTGGTTGTTCTGGTGTCATAGTAGTGATTTTGGCTATTCGTCACGAAAAGATTGAGAAGCAATGGGGGCAATAAGTTATTTTTATAATAAAATATGAACTTGGCGATTTCAAACGTATTGAAATCAAGTTAATTCAAGTTGTAGAAAAGAAAAGGAAATTGGAATAAATCTCGAAGAGGAAACAAGAATTGGACCTTATCATAACGATAAAAAAATAATATTAATAATGATGATAATAATGACAATAATAACAATAATAATAATAATAATGAAATACAAATTTTAAGACGAGACCTCCATCACTCGAAGTGGTTGACATCACTTTAAGTGGTTTTTATGGGGGTCCTCTGAAGAATAAGTAAACCAAAAATATCTAAAAATAAAGATCAATTAAATCAAATCAGCAAAAATTTATTTCAAAAGTGCTAATTAAAGCGTGTTGGGGCCAGTTACGCTTGGCAAAATAAATACGAAACAACAACTTCTATGCGTCCAGGTTCCTTGTATTCATGTTCAGGATAATCACAACGAATGGCAATTGAGGATCTATTTGGCGAAGATTCGAAGTTATTGCTTCTTACCCAGCCTAAAATTCTTGGCTTAAACTAACTCGGCAAAAACAGCAAAAAAAACTGCAAGTAACGCTCAAGCAACGCACATGGCGTGGGAAACTGCGCTCTAGGTATATTGTCAGCGGCGCTATAATCTGTACGTAAATGCAACGAATCATACAAAGCATATTTAATTGCCATTTAAACTTGAGGACG